CCAATTTGGCAACAATTTGTTATCAAATTGCTTACTGGGCATATATTATGACACAATATTATATATTCAATGAAGTTTTTTTTCGAAATTTTGATGATATGCAGCAAACTTAATTATGTTCCGTTACATTATTGCGAAGCAATATCGTTATATAATCGTGTTAATTGATGCATACTAGAGTACATGGATTTACCGTAATTACCGCTTCTATCCATTTTACCATTAATCGTATCTCTGTTCTCATATGCCGTATACTCTTGATGCGCAAATATTTGGATGTTTAGCAATCAACGATTAACGGAGATGTTCGATAATTTATACATCATGAGAACAGTTGAACTTTATGCGACCACAAATAAATAGAAAGTAAAGACCAAAATATTTTATTTATTTCGGATGATATTACTACCCAGTGAAAAATACCGATCGAAAAAATGTGTATTAGATGTCTATTAGATACCCTGCCGAAAATGGTCGATTAAAACCGATTAAAACATAATCCGTTTTAATCGGTTTTAATCGGTTCAATCCGCGCCCGGATTAAAAAAGTAATCGATTTTAATTCCGAACGAACTATAATCGGTTTTAATATCGCTTTCGCGGATTATTTCCAATCTAAAATCATTACATTCTAATCCATATTATTGTCAATCCAAATAAACACGAATAATCGAATGGATATTGTGGCTGCCGTAGGTCGACACATTAAGCACAATCCGCGATACAATAGTGCGACCCGTAACTTGGCGGCTCGCGCGTCCGCGTGTAGTTCCGGGCGGCGCCGCTACGCGGCGAGAAAACAGGTTTAATTCTAACTTTATGAAATCGTATAATTTCGGATTGAGGTGGAGATAATATCATCCAACATTAACCTCGCCTGAAGCGTACTAAATTCGATTTGACTATTTTTACTCCCGACTGCTGCCAACCGCAGGTTGGCAAAAAACGGAGGGAGTATGCGTTTCACCGAGCTCGGATCGGTTATGGTTTTAGTTCTCAATAACTACTACATAGTTTGATATCATCTTTTGCTCAAAAGCTTCTTATTAACCAAGGAAGGTTTAAAGCGTATAATTATCGTTATTTATGTTGTTAAGAAATCCCGATCGATTCGGATTACATTTTTTTAAATCCGTTTTAATCGACCATTTTCGGCAGGGTATCTATAAATGTCTATAGACGTCTAATAGCCGTTTTTCCGACCTGTGATTTCTCACTGGGTATATCGATGTAGGATTGAAGAGATTCGACACATTTAGGAAAAAGAACAGGATATGCTCTTTCTTCGCTTTTATTGACTTACAGTATATCTTTACATTCGAATCCAAACCGGATTTATAAAATCATTTTAGATTATTCTATTCTCTTATCTTATTCTGTCTAGATATATTGTCCATTTATGTAACACAGTACTGATTTACAGCAGACATTTCCAGAGCGAAAATGCAAGAATGTATTGCATAAACGGCAAATGACACATACAAAACGATGATACTAGAGAAATTGCTATCTCGATGTGTATAATATTATGAATATATAAAACAAAATAGAGTATTTATACATTTTTTTCTGCATACACATATTCCATCGTCGCATTTATTATATGATACAGTCGTATGTGAAATTCAAAGTCGTCTCTTAACAATATCAACTATAATATACGACAATCTGAAAACGAGGAGAAACACTATATGATATATATTTATATAGACATATGTATACCAAACACGTCGTATAAAGTTGAGAATACACTATTATACATTGAATAGTTTAAAAGTTAAAAATATTATAGCACGAATCATCCCGTTATAAGAGATCTTTCAACAATTAATATATTTATATATACAACGATTTGATAATTGAACTTCATCTTTTGATTAATGATAATTTCAAAGTATTTTTCAATAAATCATATAATTTTTCTTTAACTTACTATTAATTTTGTGGATTGAATTTTCATAATAAAATAGGCCAATTTACTTCTTTAAATTTTTCTCAATTATAATAGAAATTTATTTTTTTTAGAAATGAAGAGAAGACTGCATTAGTGTTGTTGCATTATTCTTTTTTCTAATATATTATTGATCACAAATATACCGAGATGGCATGGAAGCAATGCAAACAATTCTTTAACTTGCATGCGCACTGCGCACTTATCTCGAAACAAATGTATTATCTCTCATAAAATTGCACAATAACTGCATATCAAATAGTGCGGAAATCTATATCAACGTTCATGACATGTATCTATATCTAATGTTAATTAATCGAAGAAAACTTGTCAATAATAAACGTGTGCAAATATGCATGTTTTTCATAAATTTAAATAATAATAATAAAACGCACTTACAGGACGCAAATATGAACATAGTATGCGTTCCATATTTATCAATCGAAATATAAAATTGATCAAGTGTGTAATTAATAATAACAATCTATCATATCTTTCTAAAAAGTGAAATATTTTCAGAACCTTTCATTTAATATATATATGCTTCATTTAAATGCACATTATATACAAAATATCAATACATTAGGCTTTACGATGACTCTCGTGATCAAAGAGAGAAACATTTTTTAATAAATCTATAAAATAAAAAATGTAATAAAATGTTATTTTAATATTTCTGTAGTATTTTTTATATCACGGCTTTGTTGTCTCGCGATACACTGTAGACACGTGATAGATGCCATCATGCATACTAAGCATGTATGATGCATTTCCAATACATTATATACATCACATATCAAAAGATGCACTTAATCGAATTCATAGGCACTTATACACAAAAAGCACTTAATATATTTTCTAATTCATTTTTTAATTACTACTACTACACTACACGCTTTATAAAACAATGATTAGAATAAGGTAGTACGTTTCTTTTTCGTTCAAGATTACATTTATCGCAATCAATTTCGTGACAAAAAAATTGTACATATTTCCTTTCATTAGATAAGTTGTGATGTAGATATAATATGTATATGTCATAGTCACCAATAAAAAATTTCTACAAAGCTAAATTGACACAAAATAATTTACTTGTCAATATAATTGGAACATAAATTCGAAGATTATATAAATTGTCAAATTATAACTATCTCATATATCTGGCTTTAAATTTTTGTCTATAGTAAATGGATTTTTGTTATAGACCTATCTTGCATATCTTGATTACTTTTCACATTAGTTTAATCGTAAACAATCCTTCAAAAAGTTCTGTTTAAAGAAACGACATCATCTTTCCAAATGTGTTTAAAGCATACTTTATAGGAGATCCATCATTATAATATACGCATATTATAATGATAAGGAATTTCAATATTTCTCTTATGTGCGTTAATGCATATTAAATAAAAGATATATAGATTTAACATAGTATATTAAAGAGGGTAGATAGGTAAATAGATAGGTAGATAAGTAGGTAAGTAGATAGGTAGGGATAGGTAATTCTATTTATCATTTTTATGAGCGATATTGTGCTAGACTAATGGTTTCTGCATATCGTCTAAATGTTTTCTTAAATATGTGATGAAGTCAATTAGACTAGTGGACATGGCCCTATCTACTACTGTTTGTGGTATCCAGCCTTTAAGATTTGTATTTAAAATCCAGGTGAAGCGACATTTATTAATGGCTTCTTCGTCAGATAACTCTTCTGTTGCAAAACAACTTATACCATTTTCACCCCTTAAAAAGAAGATATTTAAAATAACAATTATACAATCTTATCCTTTTTATACATTAAAAAATATAATTTCTTTCAATGTCTCTCTCACCTAGTCATATTTGGACGTATCTGAACCAATGCCGTAGGGACAGATATACCACTGCTCATATAATAATCGCCGCATTTCTTACGATGCCTCAAGATAACGAAATCTCGCGCTGTGATGAGTCCACCACCATAAGAACTTGTCGCTTGATAAATGATATCCGTGTTTTCATCGATATTCTTAAAATGAATAATTGTTGCCAATATCAATAAAATATTACAACAGGAACAAAAAAAAAAAAATACAAAAATTACCTGTAGTTTCATCGATTCTGTTACAAGTTTGTTCCACAAAGGAAATTCTTCGATATCATCAAACAATAAGTCTATTAATATACTAGCAGGTGCGTTGACAATGCCCTGAAACAATTAAATAACTTTCATTGTTTCATAAAACGAGAAAATTTATTTATTTGCACGCGCGCGAAGAAAATTCTGTCTTTTATAATTTATTCATTTATTTATTTTCATTTATGCTACATATATGCTAACTTACAGTGATTCTCATGACCTTTCCATCCAATTTCCATTCTGATGGCAGCTGCATATAGGACACTTCGTCCCCATCAGTTGTTATAGTTTCGACCTTCCATTCTTTTGATGTTAATAAGTTGTGACAATTTTGTAACATTTTAGATGCCCTCGTTTTATATTCATCGATCTAAAAAAAAGCCTTGATGTCTAACTAAAGTCAAGTTTAGAAATATTTATAATTTTTTTTAAGATAATGAGAAATATTGAAACAGAAATATATCCGCGTTTATATTAATTTAAAATTTTAGAAATACAGCATCAATACAATAATTGTAAAAAAAAGTATTAAATAAAATAAATCTTGCAATGTATTATTGTATTAATGATGAATAATCTGGTTTATTGTACTCCTTCATTAATAATTTATATAAAATAATAATAAAAGAGTATTTCAATACTCTTAAACACATCAAAATGACAAAAATTATTTGCTCTTAGAGTTTGCATTTTATAATCATAGAACATTACAAATCATTTTCAAAGTATCATATAAATCTGTAAAATTAGTGAGCAATTATAATAATAAGAAATATTGTGTAACATAATTGCAAAGTATTGTGAATATCTCATATGGTTTTGTTCTTGCACATCTCCCATCTTTTACATGCAATATAAATTAATGCATGTGTGTATCACAATTAAAATAAAATAAGTTGAATTTTTCTATATTTTCTATATTTTAATTAAATTTTGTTGTGTTCAAATAAATTTTGTTTTGCATATATACTTTTATACTATTTTTTCTATTATCAAATTTATTTATAAGATTAATAGAGATTCGATTTCATAAAGTATGTAATAATAATATCGACATAAACAGACGAATCCATATTAGATAACTTACAGAAAGTATTTCATCGCCCGTTGACGATTTTTTCCAATTTTTTTTGGGGTCCCAACTATTCACTCTAGACTTGGGCAAACACTTTAGCGCATCACCGAGAAAAAAGGGACGTATGATCGCACGCATGAAGATATGTATATTGAACGTATTAAGAATTAAAAACATAACGTAACGAACAATTAACTGAGAAGCACAATCGTTTACAGATTAAAATTTAATAGGACAAAACGCGCAGAAACGAGGTAATAATAAATCATGGCCAATTAACGATAACGTCCTTATTTATATCTTTGTTACTCCCACCCCCAATTTTTTTCTGCTATCTCTTGCTATTTAAGAGATTATTATGGACACATGTAGAAAAATAGATTTGACATTGACATTTATATAATAAGACGGTTAGTGCTCAGCATGTTTCTAGAATTTAGAATGCTAAATAAATTTTATTTGAATTTTATGCAAAGAGGAATAGATGAAAATGCAAACATAAATAGGAAAACATTTTGTGGAAAATCGTATATACAGTCGAGGTTTTCAAGTTAATGAGATTCGAGTTAGATCCGACTATATTAATATAAAATTATCCTATATCGGAAAATTAAGTTTCACCAGCATCAATAGAAACACATTATATAATAACAGCAAACAGTGTAGCGTTAAACGGGTCTTAGTGCGTCATCAAATATAAAGCCAGTTTCTTTCATTTTCTTTCTTACAATCTTTCGAGATTGTGACATAAATTTTAGAGTTTACTTAGCCTTGATCTTAATATTGTTCGATTCTGGATTATTCAACACATGCTGTTCTGTTATCTCCTTATCAATCTCCTTATTAGATAGCGATGGGCATATATGAATATACATTTATTTAAATTCTCAGTGATTACTCATCACTATAATTTCACTACTGATGGAGTTCTATATTATTCGACATATGCGGTTTGTTATCTCCTTATCGATCGAAAATACTAATCTAAATACCGACGAGATATCATTAAAGACCGATGGTTTTATGGGATTTAGGATATTACTGGAAAAAAACGGGTTGGGTATTTATCCATAAACTATAATAGTCTACGTCTACGCGTAAACAATGTAAACTATGTGTAACATGTCATCTATGTCAACAATGAGTAATCTATGGAATATGGTTTGTCAAAGACTTTCTTTATATTTCGTTTTTTATGTTTCATGCTTGAAACATAATTACAAACAGAAACAGCCAAAGGCTAATGACAGAGGACGAGACATCTCTGTCATAATCGTGAACATAAAGTAAGGCAGAGAAAAATGTAAGTTATAAAAGGCTATTGTACAATAGTGTTACATTTTTCTCTGCCTTACTTTATTAAAGTCACATATACAAATACATTAACTATTTTATAATATAATCATTCTTTTTTTTTACATTCTGACATCTAATTTATAAAGCTTACATAGTTTACATTGTCTATGAAAAAAGTCCATGTAAACTTCATGTAGACAATACTTAAACAATTCATGTAATTTTGAAATCTACGGCACAACCCTGTTTAGAAACGCTTATTACCAGGGTTGGGCAAATATCCGTAAACTATAATAGTCTACATTTACGCGTAAACAATGTAAACTATGTGTAACATGTCATCTATGTCAACAATGAGTAATCTATGGAATATGGTTTGTCGAAGACTTTCTTATTTCGTTTTTTATGTTTCATGCTTGAAACATAATTACAAACAGAAACAGCCAAAGGCTAATGACAGAGGACGAGACATCTCTATCATAGTCGTGAACATAAAGTAAGGCAGAGAAAAATGTAAGTTATAAAAGGCTATTGTACAATAGTGTTACATTTTTCTCTGCCTTACTTTATTAAAGTCACATATACAAATACATTAACTATTTTATAATATAATCATTCTTTTTTTTTACATTCTGACATCTAATTTATAAAGCTTACATAGTTTACATTGTCTATGAAAAAAGTCCATGTAAACTTCATGTAGACAATACTTAAACAATTCATGTAATTTTGAAATCTACGGCACAACCCTGTTTAGAAACGCTTATTACCAGGGTTGGGCAAATATCCGTAAACTATAATAGTCTACATTTACGCGTAAACAATGTAAACTATGTGTAACATGTCATCTATGTCAACAATGAGTAATCTATGGAATATGGTTTGTCGAAGACTTTCTTATTTCGTTTTTTATGTTTCATGCTTGAAACATAATTACAAACAGAAACAGCCAAAGGCTAATGACAGAGGACGAGACATCTCTATCATACTCGTGAACGTAAAGTAAGGCAGAGAAAAATGTAAGTTATAAAAGGCTATTGTACAATAGTGTTACATTTTTCTCTGCCTTACTTTATTAAAGTCACATATACAAATACATTCACAATTTTATAATATAATCATTCTCTTTTTTTGCATTCTGACAGCTAATTTATAAAGCTTACATAGTTTACATTGTCTATGAAAAAAGTCCATGTAAACTTCATGTAGACAATACTTAAACAATTCATGTAATTTTGAAATCTACGGCACAACCCTGTTTAGAAACGCTTATTACCAGGGTTGGGCAAATATCCGTAAACTATAATAGTCTACATTTACGCGTAAACAATGTAAACTATGTGTAACATGTCATCTATGTCAACAATGAGTAATCTATGGAATATGGTTTGTCAAAGACTTTCTTTATATTTCGTTTTTTATGTTTCATGCTTGAAACATAATTACAAACAGAAATCTAAGCAGCCAAAAGCTGATGACAGGGGATGAGACGTCTGTCATAGTCGTCGACGTAAAATAAGGTAGAGAAAAACGTAAGTCATAAAAGGCTATTATACAATAGTGTTACGTTTTTCTCTGCCTTACTTTACTAAAATCACATATACAGATACATTAACTATTTTATAATATAATCATTCTTTTTTTTTGCGTTCTGAGATTTAATTTATAAAGCTTACATAGTTTACATTGTCTATGAAAAAAGTCCATGTAAATTTCATGTAGACAATACGTAAACAACTCGTGTAGACGTAATTTTGAAATCTACGGCACAATCCTGAAAAAAACTCGCTACGCGCTACTGTAAATAAATAAATCTTTGCATTGTCGATAATGAAACAGTAGGTTTACAATAAATATTTATTTTGTCGTTCTTGAGGCAGTTATATAAAAGATCTTTAGATTTTTCGATAATAAAACAATATCTGGATGAACTAAAATAACGCGCAGCGAATTTTTCTTCCAGTCGCACTAAATCCCATAAGACCATCGATTTTTAATGATATCTCGTCGATAGTGATACGTTTATGTAATAATCAATTAAAGAGCCGGAACATAGTCGGGATCACACTTTAAATTTATGCGATTTTATCGAAAAATTTTATGTTAAGCCAACTATTCAATATTTCCACATATCTTCTCTGATTTTATATTCTTATCTAGACACTCGTCGATGTCGTTTTGCCATATAATTTCACCAACCTTATCAGGTGTAAGTTTCGCTAGAAACATAGATAACTCGCTGGATCTTGATAAGCTTCTCAAGTCTCCTTGCTTTTTGGAGATGTCTTCATCATCGGAATGACTAGGGGAATCCACAGGTGTGAAAAATGTATTCATGTGATCGACGTTTGCTGCGTATTGCCGTGATTCGGTAATGACATTTTGTAGTAGTGGAGTTCTTTCCGTATCCGGAAAATCTGTAAATACAGAAATTTACTAAGATCTTTTTATGTTTTCAAACTAATGTACAAAATTGATTAAATTGTAATAATCTCTCTCGACTTTACTTTATTGTGCTGTGTATTAATTAAACTAATCTTTTTTACAAAATATTAATTCATAAATAAATTTTCAACTTTACTACATTGTTATTCTTTATATTTTATTATTTATTAATTAACGAGATTAAAAAAAAAAAGAAAATTAAATCATTAAGAGAAGCTTACTCCGAATCCAATTTCTCGCTTGAGTTTCCTGAGGTATCACACGAAAATCAAAGAACCAAGCCTCCGCCCAAGATAACACAAAAGATGTTAAGATTAGTAGAACTTGGAATACTGGTTGATTAGCTGATGTCCACTGAAAAACACAATATATTATATAAATTAAGTCGACGAAATTAATTGTAAAAGTAATACATAGATATTTCGGGAATATTTACATCAAAAAGAAAAACTTTTGCAATTAAAAAGGCACATGTTGTGGCAGTTGATATCTGTAAAACACAAAACCCCAAATTATTGCTCATATTACAAATGTTAAAAACAATATTAAATAAAGAACTACTAGGAAAATATTATGTTTTCTTTATTTTATTTTTGCTATTTAAAGGGTTTTTCTAGTTTGACACTCTGAAAATAAGGCGATTTTTGGGAATTTTTTTTAAAGAAAAGTATAAAACATATTAATTCTAAACTTTGCACATTTATTAAATAACATTTCAAATATATCCTGAATTTTTTTCAAACAAAAATATTTGTTTATTTCGGAGTTATAATAGTCCAACCAGAGTGCCTTAAAAAAAATTGTTGTTCGTGGCGAACATAATTCCAACCGTTATAGTCATCTAAAATAAAAAAAATAAAAAAGATTCTTAATCTGTATGAGTGACTATCGCGTGAATTAGAATACAAAAAAATATTGAAAAATAAAAAAATGACAGCGTCTCAAAAAAAAATTTCATTTTTCACCAAAGAATTGGTTAGTTTTGTAAGTCGCAAAATTTAAATTTTGCAAATATCGATTTAGTTCACACGATAACCACACTCATATAGATTAAGAATCTTTTTGGTTTTTTTATTTCAGATAACTATAACGGCTGGAATCATATCCGCCATTTTTTTTTTAGACATCCTGGTTGGACTACTATAACTCCAAAACAAACAAATATTTTTGTTTGAAAAAAATTCAGGATGTATTTGAAATGTTATTTAATAAACGTGCAAAGTTTAGAATTAATATGTTTTATACTTTTCTTTTAAAAAATTCTCAAAAATCGCCTTTATTTTCAGAGCGTCCAACTAGGAAGACCCCTTAGGTCAAATAGTTCATTAAACTTTTTTTTTGCAGGAAAGTTTGATTAAAATAAATATACTTACAGCTACAATGATCCAGTGATTGAGATACAGTAGCGCATAAAAGAGCAACAAGACGGTGAACCTGCAAATCGCTGCCATCTGAGAAGATGAAATCCGTAAAATCTCTGCTCCCAATAAATAATGAAAAATTATGATGAACTGAATGTCACTGTCGTCATCCAGTTAATTAAACTCATTGACGATGAACGACAGAATATATAAAACTTACCACAATATCAAACAAAGATGTCCTTATATGATAGTGTATCACCTGATTTTCGAAAGCTGTATTTAAACTTTCACCTGCAATCTGTAAATATAATAGAGTAATTTAACTTTTATTAAAATCTCTTAAGGACGATCTTTAAATTATTTATTTAATTAAATATTCAAGCAAGTAAAGAAAAAAGAAATATTTGATGATATAAAATCATAGTAGAAAGAAAAGGATCAGCTAGAAACCAAATGAAAAATAAAACCAGAAATTTTTTAAAAAAGATTGCATAAACAAAGACGTGAAATGCGCAGAAATAAAAAGAGAACATTTTTTGCAAATGTTAAAATAAAAATGTAGAATAAAAAAAGTAATCTCCATCCAATCAGTAGCAGCAAGCAAGTCACATGCGTTACAAAATGTTACATTTCTGACAAGATCAATATTTCAATCTATCTATTGATTAAACATATAGATAATGTTTCAAATACAATCGAATTACAACATACCATCGTGCAAATGAGCCACATGAGAAATGTGAGGAGAAGATCGAAGGTAACGAAGAGGCAGAAGAAACGTCTGACGTTGGACATTCTGCCGTTGTGTCTCGCTCCTGCGATCAAATCCTCGCTGAAGACGATATCTGGCGACCGTGTCATGCTATGTTGGGTAACTGAACTTCTTTGGGAGTTGATGGAGCCGCTCAGTATGGCCTCAGCGGCCATCCTAATTTGTCTCTCATCTTCTGCCATCCCTCTGATACACCTCTGATGTCGTCGTCGTCGTTGTCGTAACGTCGACCTTTAAGATAATAAAATATTTCATATGTATTAATATGTAGTTGGAATAATATTAGTACGTTTTTCTTCGTTTTAATTGCTTTTGTTCTACATTTTGCATCTTTACTATTTCCTCTTCCAGAATCCATTTCATTTCAAATACAGCTAAAAAAGCAGAAAGTGCGCAGCTAAAACGAGTCTAGCAATAATAATATAGATACCCATGTTTTCTAAGAAGAGCAAGTACTGTAAAAATATGCTGAATATGCAGACGCTAGATTGTATAACATGTATTTCACCAATGTTTGATGAACTCTTATAAATGCTATGTGTATAGCATTCATTTATGGTTTATAGCATTGCTGTGTGCATGAATAAACGATGATGTAAGATGTATTTTCTTGTGTAAAAATAATATTAGAAATCCTTTATTTTACTATAAGGAGTTTATTTTATGTGAATATAATCTTCAGATAAATTAGATGAAGTTTCTTTTAATAAAAATATCAAAGAAATATTGTTGGAATAATATTCTGAAAATATCGATGTTTCTTATTCTCATTATAAATTCGTTTCAATTATTAACTATTATAATTTCCATACAAATGAGCAATAGATAACTTGCATATAGAACAAAAATATCTGGGACATGAAAATATAAAAAATAAGAATTTACATATTCATAGGAAACTACGATAAAAAATTATGTTACAATTTTTGGTACATGTATGAGTATATAAATATAAAAATTAAAGGATACAATATGTTGTTTTTTATAAAAAAATATGCATATTTTTCCTTATAATCTAAACGATAATCTTATCTTTTATCTATTTTTTTAAGTAAGTTCATTATTCGTTATATACCCAGTCAGCCACATATGTTCTAACAGATATTGCCAAGTGCTTGCTACAAATTATTGTCAGCAAAAAGGCTACAAATTTGGTACAAGAGTTGTTATTACCGATTAAGCTGGCAGATTGCCGGCAAGAACCAAGCAATATGCTAGACTCGTTTTAGCTGCACACATATTGCCAGATATTTAAAAAATGTTAGGTTAAGATTTTTGGCGTTACTGTTTATACAAATATTTATTTTTGTATACGTAAAATAAACTATTCATAAAAATTAGAGGAACATCTATTTTTTCTTTAAAAATATGCAAAATTTAGCCAGCTGTAATTTCGTTAAAAATAAACGAAATTTAAATCCAAAAAGGGGTTTTAAAGCTTAAAATTTCTACTTTCAAAAGGTCACTATCATTTTTGAGTTTCTGTGAGTTTGGGAATTTTTACATATAAAAAACTAATAGCTGAATAAAATAGGACATTTTTTTCTCACTTTGTGAGCCTGTTACGTGCCCCAAAAAAATCTGCGAAAATTTTTGACATTCTAATATGAAACTAAAGTTTTCTCTTCAAAATCCTTGTTTTAATTTTTCTAACATTTTTTGTTACTAAGTTACTGCCGATTAAATAAAAAATAAGTATTTTGACTTTGATTGCTCATAACTCCGTTAAAAATCATCCGCAATTCCAAAAACAAATTCTTAAAGCTGAAACTTTGCTCTATCGAAATATAATTGCCAAAATTTTTTCAAAAATATGTAGATATAATACAAATGAAAAAAAAACGTAAAAATGAGCAATTTTTCCGTTTTTCAATTTGATCTAGAAAACAATTGTGTAGAACAACAAAAAAATTTATTTTTCACGTTTTTTGTACTTTTAAGTATCTTGAATTTGAAAAAAGTTTGACGAATAGCTATGAGATTTTTTTCATAATGGCCACTGTGATTTTACGAGGCAAAACGTACAAGAAATTGTGAATATGCTTAATTCCAATGGAAAAAAAAAATTTTTAACATTAGCTGAACTTTATTTTCTATTTTTGCTTTCTTATAGAAGAAGCTTTGTTTTCGTGACAAAATTTTTTTCGGGTTTTTTATGCCAATGTGTTCAGAATGTTCAAAAACCTCGAAAAATCATATTCCTAAAAAATGTATGTATGTGTGTATGTATGTATGTATGTATGTATGTATATATGTATGTATGTATGTATGTATGTATGTATATACGCGATATGTTGTACAACCTCTAACTTCCGCAATTTTTGAAATATCTAATTAAATTTTTTTACATGGATAGAATATTATTAAAGGATGGTTGGTGTTGAATTTGGTGAGAATTAGTGAAAAGGTTCATTTTTTATAAAATTTTGAATTTTTGAGAAATGTCTGACCACGTTGTAACTTTCGCAAATTTTGGGATATCGGGTTAAATTTGTTTACATGAATAGATTATTATTAAAGGATGGTTGGTATTGAATTTGGTGAAAATCGATGAAAGTTCATTTTTTATAAAATTTTGAATTTTTGAGAAATGTCTGACCACGTTGTAACTTTCGCAAATTTTAAAATATCGGGTTAAATTTTTTTACATAAATAGAGTATCATTAAAGGATGATTGGTATTGAATTTGGTGAAAATCGATGAAAGTTCATTTTTTATAAAATTTTGAATTTTTTGAAAAATATCTGTACACATCCTAATTTTTGCAAATTTTAAGATATCGAGTTAAACTTTTTAACATGAATAGAGTATTATTAAAGGATGGTTGGTATTGAATTTGGTGAGGCAAAACTTCCTCTATAAGGAAACAAAAATTGAAAAACCCGCTTTCTTTAAAGATCTTAAGCTTTGTAAGGAAGCTTTATGAGGAAGCAATGTGCAAGTTTCTAATTTGCACAATTTTCAACTTGTTTGGAATTACGGTACGATGATTTTTAACGAAGTTATGGGTAATTAAAGTCAAAATGCTTATTTTTTATTTAATCGGCGATAACTCAGTAACAAAAAATCTTAGAAAAGTTTAAAAAAGAAAAGATTTTGTAGAAAAGATTGTAAACTTTCATATTAGAATGTCAAAAATTTTCGCAGATTTTTTTGGGGCACGTGACAGGCTTACAAAGTGAGAAAAAAGTTTCCCATTTTGTCCAGCTCTTAGTTTTCTATATGTAAAAATTCTCAAACTCACAGAAACTTAAAAACAATAGTGACTTTTCGAAAGTAGAGATTTTAAGCTTTTAAAAAACCCTTTTTTATTTAAATTTCGTTCATTTTTAACGAAATTACAGCTGACTAAATTTTGCATATTTTTAAAGAAAAATTAGATGTTTCTCTAATTTTTGTGAGTAGTTTATATCTATTCTTTCAATTGTGCGAACAATCGGGATTTTATATCAAACTCATCGATAACGCTATGTATACATTAGATTAGAAGTACACTTTACTGTACGATAATCGGCAATGTTTAATCTTCTGCTGAGTAACCCTTCTGCAATTGAAAAAATTATATTTGCTTAAAATGCGATTTGACAGTGTTAAACATTATATATAAATTATATATATTATAATTATATATAAGTATATAAACATTACATAAATTTCCTTAAAATTTAATGTAATTGGAATTTAATATAAATTGTAATTGTGTCTTAAAATATCATTTTTCTTTCTTTTATACATTGAATCTCTAAATCTGGATTATTTCTTAAAATATATCCTTCATAAATCTTTGATCTTTGCACATGTCTAGATTTATAGATTTTTTATAAAATCTTTATCTTCTCTCTTGATTGATTTTTAAGTTTTCTCAATCTCAAATGAAAAATTTAAATATTTAGCTATTACACACACAATACAAGATAACTAATTGTAAGTTAATCATCATACTGCTATGCGTTAAGGATAAATTATCGTTAGCTTTATGCATATGTGTACATATACACATTCACCATACATACGCACACACACACGCCGTACGCACGCATACACACAGCATACAACAAACTTCCATGAATAACTTTGCAACTGAAATCAATGATAACATATCGCCACAATAGCAGATTAAAGCGGAATGCATTGCTTTTACAAGAGAGATATACATGCTCTCTTCTTTTTTTGTGAGAGATGAGAGATATAATTAACTTGAAAGACACAACATTCAATGGAAATATTAATTATAGAGATTGTATAAGATCTTTTTGTCGATTGATATTTTAATTCAAATTCTCAGTTTATTTTTAGAAATGTATTTTTTATATTTATTTTTTTGTATGGGTGTGTCTTTTTCGTTTTATTCTATCTCCCAGATAGCACAAACCTATTCTCTATAAACATTCTATAACTATGTTTCAGTGAATATTTGAATATTTTAATAAAGTGAAAATAAAAACGATTCCTTACCAAACTTACGAACTTATCTTGAGCCTATAGCTGTTATTATTGAAAAAAACACGATTTATGAATCTGCATAGAACTTCTAAATGAGACCGTTCTAAATACAATGTTCTATGCAGATTTATAAAATATTGTTTTGACACAAGAATATTCTACAAAAATTCATAGATAATTCTGTAAGAATATCCTTAAAATAGTATATTTGATGCTAAATAGAATAGTCAAAGAATATATATATATATATATATATATATGACTGGTAATTTTTTTTTAATTTTTGCAAAGTGTATTCTCTTTTTTCCCGTGAAATAATATAACGCGGAAATGTTGCTTATATATATATATTAATTGTGTGCTATCTGGGATTATCTCTCTCAACGCACATTTAATTCTGCTATATAGAAATTAACTTTTAAAAAAGAAGAAATTATATATAAAACAGATATAAAACTTGTGTAATATATAATATAGCGCTTTATATCGAACTTTTTTAACATAAATTGGCTGAAAAAAATTTAGAAGAAATATATTCCGTTGAATATATCAGAATGATACGCGATATTAACAAGGTTAATTCGATATCCTAACCTCAAAATCCTATATGCAGTCGTTTATTTCAATTTACTTCGTCGAGCGATGCAAGCAGGGGAATTTCAAAGATCGACAAAAGAGCGAATCTCACACATTTTTGCCGTACGAAAAGCACATATTTACGTCAAATCAAGTACGCAAAGATAAAAGCTTCGCCGTATCGCGTGGCCGTTTAACTTTTCTTTTTCATTATATTTCTTACCGTTTTGTAGCTGAGAGTGCTCATAGATGCGATCGCGCAGCCGAATTGTTTAACGAAACAATGTCATGCACGTGCATCGCGCACGCACCTCGGCCTCACACCACTGTATTGTACTCTGATATCACCGAATATAAACAAGTATCAAGACGGAACAATATGACGTTTCTTCGGCGTCGTATTCATATGTAAGTGTGTGCTCATTGCTCATGCGTTTGGAGTCAGGTAACGCGCGTCGAATGCACCTAACTTAATGTGACAAGATAAATATGTCATCACGAAGATATAAAAATCTATAGCACACAGCGCGTTTCTTCGTTTCTAGCTAATGCAATGTTTTACAAAAAATCCAGCATGTATAATATATTCGTCTAGGAATTTATTAACTCTGCATGCGCATTTGGCACAAAAAGTGCATAGTATGCCACTAGTCTCTAAAAAATAACTGGAAAGAATATATCATGTAGATACAAATATGTGGATAATTGTACAAAATTATGTACAACACATTATAAGGTTTTTTTTATCAAAAAATATACATTTGGATTTACTAATATAAATGAATAGCAAAAATACATTAATATAAAATTTTTGCTCTATATTTATATGAGCTAAAGTATTCTAAAAAAGTATTTTATGTATACAAAAAAGCAATACTAGTTTACAATTAGTATTACAGTTTTTGTTCAGATTGGCGCTTACAATATGTAATAAGGTAATTTGATATTCAATATAGGTACATTTATAGGTACAATATAGATATTCGATATAGGTACATATGTGATCCATGTTATTTTACATATTATAAACATAAAGCAGTATTAGGTATCTTATCTTAAATAAATGCTTATATACATGGTCATGTGTATTTATATAGAAATGGTTTTAAAAAACGTGGATACTAGGAATGCTTTCTTCTTTTGAATTGAATAGTTTGTTTATAACTTTATGTATTCCAAAAAATTTTGCATTATATATGTATATAATATACCCAAATATATTATATTATTTCCATCACCTCTCTCTAAGTATATACATATATATATATAACTGATTTCATTAAACATTTTGCATATTATGTTTCATAAATATTTTTCCAATGAAATTATTTTTCGTAAAAAATACAAAAAGTGCAAGAATGTTATTTACATGATAACCAATTATTATCACAGTTGTATCACTATGAAATACTCCTTCAATAGTATCCTAGTAGTCAATTCAGTCAGGAAGAATGATAGTTCGCAAAGAATCTTCGGGAAAAGTTTCTATTTCCGCGATGGTACCGAAGTTGAAGGAGACTGCTATTCCACCATCGAGAACTAAACCTGCATCAAAACACTGTGATCTTACAGTGATCTTTTTACAAAAACCGCGAGGATATATACGCTTTGAAAAAGACATTGCATCAGTCACAATCATATCTCTTATGGAATAACACAGTGTGGAATCCTCTGTAAATAAATATAGATATATAAATTCTTTGAATAAGATCTATATATATATATCTCTTCTTTTGTTGTCACGGTACATGTACTAACCTGCATCAAATCGTAAGTTGCTATTGAAAGTTGAACAGATTGTCTCAATTTCATCATTGGTAAATTGTCGTTTAGTATCTATGAGGTTCAATATTTCTCTCACAGTTTGTTGGCTAAGACTGTTTATAGATTTATACCAAGATGTTGATCCTGTACCAGTGCTTACGCACAAACCAGAGCCCTTTACTTTTTGATACTTTTGCTCTTCATCTAACTTTATGAACAAGGAACTCGTTCGTGCCGATAACGTTTCGCCCATAAACACCTAGCAACGAAAACAAGGCCTGGGATAGGTATAAAAGAGCAAGTCGCATTATTCGACTATTAATATATATCGAGGAACATGAATTATCTCACTTCATTAAGTGCCAACCAAGGTAGACGCCTTTCTCTTGGTAATTCATCAGGATTATCTTCAAATTTCTCATTTACATAAATCCTATAAATAATAAGTACATATAATACTTAAAGCTGGCACTGTGGTAAAAAATAGAGACACAATATAACATACAAATTCAAAAAAAAGAAAAAAAAAAGAAAAAGGTCAACTATTGCTAATAAAGTCTGCGATAAGGGAAACGCATAATAATTTAATTAAAACATTAATATGTATATTGATATGTGACATGCCTTTGACCACCTGCAACGCGTCCTTTTTCGTGCATATGAAAAGGAACTTTCCATATTTCTTCTCCCTTCAGAGTAGTCCGAATTCTTCTTCGCATGAGTATACTGTAATGTCCTGCTCTTAGCATTTCGAAAATCTCTCTTATATTTCTCGTATATTTCATCGGTAACAGAAGATAACCCTCCGACTTCTCGGGATTTGAATTAATGCCCATTATAGGTTTTTTATTGTCAAATATTAAATTTGAAGCCAAAAGAAATGTTCCATCACCGCCGACTGGCAAAACTAAATCCGCCCATGTAAAATACGATTGATCTATAGTTGTTCTAAAAATATATGATACACATTTATTTTGCAGTGAACATTTCTATTCCAATTTGAAACAGAAAAGCAGTTTATTTTAATTGATATATATATATAAAATATATAGTGTTTTGTAACCAGAGATTTTAAGCTTCATTTTCCTAGATTTGATAGATTTTTAAAGATTATATATATATAACACAATATAAAAACACAAAACACTATATATTTTTTAGATTAAAGATTTGTGCCTACCTATCTACTACCTTACATTCCACATTCATTTTCTGCAAGATTTGTATTACTTGATCTGTCACAGCTTTGGTGGCAAAATGATTAGCAAGCATAGTATCATAATCAGAGCCTCTTTCTATTAGTTTCAATTTCAACTGAGTTTCATTGAGCTCGGGTTCCCGTAATCTTTCAAAATGGTACCTCGATAGTTTCGCCACAATAAGTATCTTTTTAGGCACAAAACTTGATTCATTTCGGAAGGAAATATATAGACCTTTGTGTGCATGAATAGAATGAGATTGTAAACACTGCAGTGTTTCTAGAAAAAAATCATGTGAGATATTAATCTTTAAAGTAATTTGTCTTTGATTAAATTTAAAAGTTAAAGTATCTATCAAAAAGAATCAAGCAGATACAGAATATTTTTAAAATATGTGGCTTTACCAGTATACGTTATCATTTAATGAAATCATTTTAAGTCTATACTTCAAAAAGAATATATAGATATTTATATGACATTTTTGATTAGTAAAATTTATTTGATTAGAAAGGCAAAGAAGAAAAGTAAAATTTAGCCATTCAGAAATATCTTATATATTATTTTATGATTTTTAACATAATTAATCAATGCAATTGCTCCTGTTTTATCTTGTTAAAGTATGTAAAAAAATTCATTTATAAAAAAAGAAAATACTTTAATATTCGAATATATTAAATTGAAATTATATATATATATATATATGAGTAAAATATCCAGAGTTATAAAATATGATTTGTATCAGTGTCACCATATGAGATATAGCCATTGTTAGCAGTCTAAATATAATATATAGAAGTCTATAATCTCCTTTAAAGATATGAAATAGTTGCCTAATCATGCGATAAAAATGATTAGAATTGTAAAACTGTTCAGCTAAAACATCATGCTCTTCCCTACATATATATAAAATGCATCATATATAATAAATTTAAATGTATTTTATATTAAAGTTGCATTAATTCGAAATCATACATTATTTAGAAAGATTATGCCATATATATTATCAGGATATCATAAGTTTGAAAGGCATAACATATAATGACATCTACTGTTTCAATCATATTTTCTTGCTTGAAATGAGAAAGATGCCTAAACAACGGTTTTCTTCATTTTCTAGTCCTTTCTTATTCGATAATTTTATTATTAGATTCTTTTTCAAGATACAATTGTAAATAATAGTAATACACAAACATGATATAGGATATTCCTAAAATTGCAGATAGAAAAAGAACTAAAAGAAATCACCGGCGAACAACTGCTTAGATCTCACAATCGAGAATTGTCATACTAACTGGCAGTTTTAAGAAGATGATTGAAAACCATCATTGCATGATGATTGAGATATTCTAATGCGTAATATCGAACTATCGTGAATGATAAATCGCTCCGAAAGTTTCGCAAAACTTCTTCTAGGTATTTAATTGGCTTACGCTGACCTGAATTGACTTGACACTCAATTAACACTTATCACTGATCACCGCTGAACTCTATACCAGAGAGAAGAATGAGAGTCGCCACGCTGCCGTTTTTCGTGTGACGCTTTTTCTAGGTCGTACACTAGCGTCACGTACATCCATTTTACGCCGCCTGGAACTACATGGCCCCGTCTCTCTTTCATTGCGTATGTGTGTACCCAGACAACACAAAACGTCCTTAGGATCATCCTGAATATGTCCAGGATGGTTCAGGATATTTGTAGGATGTTTTAAGATATTATTATAAATATATTTTATGAAAATTTAATATGCATACATGATTACTTTCGGTTATGTAGGCTATGACGCTTTGTCTCAGGAGCGTCCGTATATAAGAATGTCCAAATATAATAGTAAGACAATACGATCCGCGTCGTGAGAGACGGAGTGTTTTTTTCATGATCCATTGCGCACTATTGAAATGGATATCAATGCTATCGGTACTTGTAATATATTTACGTAAGATTATGTGAATTCATTTTTAAATTAAAATTATTATTTAACATTGCTTTTTATGATTTACACTCTTTGTTTTAAGAATGGGAAAGGAAAAAACAATTTTTAATGTAAATGTCTTGTACGTTATATATAAAAAAATGTATATTTTTTTTGTACATAATGTTTAATGAAGCTTACAAAAACGTAAACAAAAAGCTATTTAATCAGAAACATTGTCTTTTTTCTAGAATCGTTTTATGAAACTAAATTCTTTTGGTTTTCTGCTACGGTTCCCATTTCCTTCTGCTTTTCATATTAAGTTTCGTGCATTATATTTGCACGTTTATCATCAATTTTCTTAATACTCTCGCTATGTCGATTTGCGATTCAAAGATATCTCTTCAACGTATTGTTATCGTTTTAATATTCTGTCTTTGTAATATTTTTTATCAAATTGCATTTAATATATATATTAAGAAGCAGATTCAACATAATTTATAAAAAGAGAAAAAAAATTATAATTTTTAGAGAGGAAACAAAAACGGATAAACTATTAACGATACAAACCCAGACAGCACAAAACGTCCTCAGGATCATCCTGAATATGTCCAGGATGGTTCAGGATATTTGTACGCTTTTTGCTGCAACTACATAAATTTTCTACATATTATGTATTAAAATATGTTCATATATATTTTTGTACTTACACAGATAGAGATGTCCGAACGACCGAAGCGAGTCATCTCCAAACCGTCGCGATATGTAACGACGTCTTCGGATGATGCTCCTTCAAAACCAAAAAGGGTCGCAACAACAACTAGTGCTGTGGAAGTCCAAGAAGATATCCACGATATAAGGATGACTCTCGAAGAGAAAGATTCTATTTATCCAAATAATGACAGTTATAATAATAATAACAATTATTTTACACATTACACATCATCGCACACACACGTTCAACCAGAAACAAACATTCAATCACATATATCTGCTCAATCAAACACAAACATTCATTCACCCATAATTACTCAATTAGATGCAAACTTTCAATCATTCGATCAACGCGATACGATCATTCAACCGCACATAAACGATCAAGCACATACACATACTCAATCATACATAAACGTTCAACCATCATGCTCGTTGTCTCATAATACTCACGTATCACAAACATCACAACCACTCACACAAAATTATAACACACAACACGTAGAGAAGGTAATAAGCTATGCTGATAATGCTTTAATAGAGTTTCAGGACCATCGAGGAAATTCCGGAACACGCAGAGACATACCTTCTCAAAACTGGAACGTCGGCATTGAAGGATCGACGGCACGTACATATGGTCATCATCAACATCATTGAACACAACCAGAAAAGTCGGACATTCGGTAAATATATACATATTTATCTGTTACCTGTTTTAAGAATTATCTGTTATAAATTAAAAATAATTATTAAAAATATAATTATTTAAAATATATAATTTTTTTTTAAATTTATTTATTTTTATTTTTATTGAGATTTTGTTGTTATTTTATGAAACGTTTCCAAGCACTTGTAGCGCCAAGTCAAACGCAGCTATCGGAAAGAAGAGGAAGAAGTACGTGAGGAAGAGGATGAAGAGATTACAATGTGGAAGACGATAAGAATTATGTGACCAGCTGTACGAAAAGAAGGAAGAGAAGAACCAGGAGGAGAAGGAGGAGGAGGAGGAGGAGGAGGAAGAAAAGGAGAACTATCACGCGATCAGTGGATTCAACAATATATACATATTATATATGTAGCATTCTTATATATTCTGTACAGTAATAAGTGAAGCTGGATATAATTAAGACAGATAGCTGTTTTATGTGTTTATCCCACTTAAAACAGCTATCTGTTTCAGTCATATGCAGTTTCATTTTCTGGATAGAATGTTTGGTCTACATATATATATGTATGTATGTCGTTGAGATCGCATCTCTCCCGAGGAGAGTAAACGGCACTTTTCAGTGCCTATTTTATTCGTTCGAGTTGGATCATCTCGCAACTTTCGCAATAATCAGCACTTCTCAGCGCCAAATTTTTAACAAAAACTTTCCATATGTATATATATGTACATATGTATCAATCGGTACTTTTTAGTACCAGACACTTTAGTTTTTGCCTCTCGATTTTAATATTATAATCGTACCGCTCTAGTGATGCC